TGCCAACACCAAAGGAGGGTGGAAAGACAAGAGAATGGGGAACAAGGGTAGTCACTCATTCATTCACACATTCATTGATAGATCCACAAATACTTCTCTTCCTCACTGTCTGAGCCTAGCATGATAATAAGCACTGTGATCAGGAGCTGGAAGGGGACCTCAGAAGCTCAATAGGCATTAGTGCAATGATCAAATGAATAAACACAAATGAAAAAAACTGCTGGGCCCTGACCTTCAACAGCTTGTAGTCTAGTGGGGCAGGCACACTCGCTCACTGCCCACATACTCCAAATGAACAGGGAACCAGATGCGCCTGTGGGCCCTGGACCTCAGAGAGATCCAGGGGCATGCAGGACTGGCCCTTGTCCTCACCAGCTAAGGGGTAATCATCTACCTGCTTGTTTTGTCCTGCCACCATCTCTCCAAAACAGTCTGGCCAGCCCAAGAAGTGGGGGCTACAGGTGAGAGCAGAGCCTGTGCAGAGTGGGAGACAGGCATATCTGAGTAGGCCACCCTTCACCAGGGCTTTCTGCCAGCGCAGGGGCCTTTGGGTCCTGAAACAAATGTCCTCCCCCTCTGGTTGTTTCCTGTCCTCCACCCCCACCCCTACCTCCCAGCAGGAGTTGGAGCCAGCTGCTCAAGGGCTGAAATCCAAACCAGCTATTGTGCCCCACCTTTTGGCTGTGTTTGACTCTGTGTGTGTGTTGGCAGGGCCTATTGTGTGCCTCAGAGCTGGAGTGTCATGTCTCAGGCTCTGGATACCATGCCTGGAGTATCTGGAAGTACTTGCCAGCGAAAGGGAAGAAGCTGGACTTGGATAATATAATAGTGGGCTTTGGCTTCAGTTGGAAAGCACCAGAGGGGAACTCTGCCTGCTGACAGACCCAGTGTGCAGTAATGTAGCAAGTGTCCAAAATGTCAAGGGAGGGAACATGTCCATTTGGGACCATGAGAGTATGCAGACACATGTGCACAGGCCTGGGGAGACAAGAGGTTCACCCATATCCAGAACTAGGAGAGTAAAGCATGGAAGTACCAACTGTTTACATACTTGTGATGCCCTGCCACCCTGGAAGCCCCCAGTGCCCATGGTGGTGAGAGGAACCAGTACCCCAGGCAGGTCATACTCTAGCCTCTCTAGCAGCTGCTAAAGGAGCCATCCTGGCTTTAAACTCTGTAGATAATGTTAACTATAACTAAAAAGGCTTTGTAAGGCCTTAGAGCCTTCTAGCTATCAGGATGAACAATTCAAAGGACTATGAGGCTGAGCCCAGGACGGTTTCAACTCTTTTTCACCTTCCTCCCATACCTGGAGCTCAAGTTGTTATCTTTGATAGCACTTCTATTCCAAGGCCCTTTTCTGCCTGTGTGGTCTGTCAGGTCAACCCTGTACTCCAAGCAACACATCCATTCCAGCAGGGAGACTAGGTCTACATAAATGAAATCAGGAGAAAGGACTGTCTTGGCCCTGGGTTGATTGTGCCCTGGGAAATACATGATCATGCTTGTGCTAGTGGGCCCTGCACCACCCGGCAGCCCCATGGACACAAAGGTGCAGCCGCTTGAAAACTGCCATCAGGAAGTGGTAACTTGACTCTTCTGCGAAACCACCCTCCTCATAGTTCTCCTACAGTGATGGTGAACAATTATGTAATTTGGCCTAATGCATATATAGGTGTACACACGTGCATCTGTACATCCACAGGGTGATAAGGTAAACCAGCCTCCTCACAGTGAAAAGAAGTTTATCTCACATATCCTAAAAGTTTAGAACTCTCCAGGATGGTGACCTTTCTTTCAAAGGTATGTCTTTGTTTACTGATACTTTCCCTGTTTCCAAAATATAAACTTGGATCACTTTTCAAATCTATATTTGGATAATATAATAGTGGGCTTTGGCTTCAGTTGGAAAGCACCAGAGGGGAACTCTGCCTGCTGACAGACCCAGTGTGCAGTAATGTAGCAAGTGTCCAAAATGTCAAGGGAGGGAACATGTCCATTTGGGACCATGAGAGTATGCAGACACATGTGCACAGGCCTGGGGAGACAAGAGGTTCACCCATATCCAGAACTAGGAGAGTAAAGCATGGAAGTACCAACTGTTTACATACTTGTGATGCCCTGCCACCCTGGAAGCCCCCAGTGCCCATGGTGGTGAGAGGAACCAGTACCCCAGGCAGGTCATACTCTAGCCTCTCTAGCAGCTGCTAAAGGAGCCATCCTGGCTTTAAACTCTGTAGATAATGTTAACTATAACTAAAAAGGCTTTGTAAGGCCTTAGAGCCTTCTAGCTATCAGGATGAACAATTCAAAGGACTATGAGGCTGAGCCCAGGACGGTTTCAACTCTTTTTCACCTTCCTCCCATACCTGGAGCTCAAGTTGTTATCTTTGATAGCACTTCTATTCCAAGGCCCTTTTCTGCCTGTGTGGTCTGTCAGGTCAACCCTGTACTCCAAGCAACACATCCATTCCAGCAGGGAGACTAGGTCTACATAAATGAAATCAGGAGAAAGGACTGTCTTGGCCCTGGGTTGATTGTGCCCTGGGAAATACATGATCATGCTTGTGCTAGTGGGCCCTGCACCACCCGGCAGCCCCATGGACACAAAGGTGCAGCCGCTTGAAAACTGCCATCAGGAAGTGGTAACTTGACTCTTCTGCGAAACCACCCTCCTCATAGTTCTCCTACAGTGATGGTGAACAATTATGTAATTTGGCCTAATGCATATATAGGTGTACACACGTGCATCTGTACATCCACAGGGTGATAAGGTAAACCAGCCTCCTCACAGTGAAAAGAAGTTTATCTCACATATCCTAAAAGTTTAGAACTCTCCAGGATGGTGACCTTTCTTTCAAAGGTATGTCTTTGTTTACTGATACTTTCCCTGTTTCCAAAATATAAACTTGGATCACTTTTCAAATCTATACAACATGTTGGTTTACTTAACAGTTCACAGGCCTTTCTCTCTCTGTGGATCCCAAAACAATTTCTGGAAAGGTATAGAGAGGAGCTAGGGGTTATACTCATTTTGAAAAGAAAACCACTTCCTCATTTCTTCCTTCAGGCAGATTTTAGTAAACAATATAAAACATCATATTTCAAAAAAAATCTGAGTTTGTCATCTTATATCACAATGAATGCCACGTTTTGAAAGTACCATATGGGTAATGTAAGGGGAACCATGTGGAGATGTATAATGATGGGAGTCTTTATTTTAAGATCATTTAGTGTATGTTATTATTAAATTAATAATAGCAAAAAGTTGTAGGGGTCTGAAAAACATGGACAGGATGGAAAATAAAGATGACTTGTCCTGGAACTCTCTACTGAGGTTTTATTTGTGTTGATGGAGAAGCAAGTGCTCAAGGCCAGTTCTGCAAGAGATCGACCCAGCTCCCATCCCTAGACCCAGGGAAATGGGACACCTCTCCGCTCTGAAATGTTGATGAGCTGGTGGAGGGGAGAAGGACAGGGGAGCAGATGGATTCCTGGACAATTGTTCCGGCTGTCACCAGAGAGCACAGGCAGGAGGGAGCAGTGGATAATTTACAGGGGAACAGATGCTGAGACTTCTCCGGAACCATCTGGCCAAGAGAGGCCTGGGCTCAGGGTGGATGCTGTCTTTAGATCTGAGTAAACTCCTTGGCCTCCAGCCCACCCCATTTCCTCTATCTGCACTTGTGGTTTTCCCAGGAGGGCCCTGCTCCCTGAATGCCCATCTCCAGAGTTCCATCTGGTTTCTGACCACCTCCCTTCTTCCCTGATCATGGCTTCTGTCTTTGCTATTATTTCTGACAGGGAAGTTTGGTCCTAGGGGTGGACTTTCACCTATGCATTTCTATTGTGCAGTATTTTCAAGCCCTCCTCCCCTCCACTATATTCCCTCTGTCACTCATCTCTGTGCCATTTAGTGATTCAACAAACAATTGAGCACCTATTATGCCAGGCATTGTTTTAGACACTGGGGATACAGTGATAAATGAGAAATAGTCCCAGACCTCTGGAGTTTGCATTATAGTGGGAGATGGTCAATAAACAAACATCAGATAATAGTAAGTGCTAAGAAAGAAAATATTAAAGCAGAGTAAGGGAGAGAGTGACGGGGGTGTGTTTTAGAGTGACCAGGAAGAGGCTTCTCTGAGGAGGTGACATTTGAACAAAGACATGAATGGGAGAGACTATCTGGAAGAAAAACATTCCAGGCTCAGGGAACAGAAAACCCGAAAGTTTTGAGTATGGTTTATGTGTTAGAGGATGCCATGCTGTTTATTCATTAGCTATTTACCGTGTGCCAGGCATCTTCTAGGGAATAAGAAGATGCAATCAGACATAGTTTTTGCCCTGAAGGAGCAGCAGTTTAGCGAGGTTTAGAGCACCGGAAATAAATAATTACAATACAGGGTAGCTACAATGAAGTTACCTGCCAGTAGCTAGAGATACCCAGCAAAAGGAGCCACCAAATCTAGTATGGAGGATTGGGGAAGGCTATCTGGAGGAGGCGACAATTTGAACCGAGGGTTGAAGGAGTAAGAATTGACAATGCAAAGGGAGGAGGGGGCATGGACATTTTACGGCCTGATGGCCTGGAAACAGGGCAACTAGGAACCTGAAGTACTCTGGAGAGGTGGAAAATTAGGCTGGTGAGGGTATTAGAGGCTGGGTCATGCAGATTTCTGCGCGGCAAGCTGAGAAGCTGCTTTTATTCTTTGGATGATCTGGAGTCAGTGCTACGAGACTTATCTTTGTTCTTTTGTCCTGTTTTCTGTCCCTGTTTCTTGTGTGTATGGTCTTTTTGTTTTGTTTTGTTTAGCAGAAACATCTTTCCCCGCGCTTCCTGCTTATTGCCCTCTTTCCTTCTCCAGCAGCCAGGCCCCCAAACCTAGCTCTAAGGAGAGTTTTACCTTCCCCGATCACAGGGTGCCCCAGTTTCCCACCCAAGGCCACGCCCCATGGCCACGCCCCCGATGACGCGCTGCGCCTAGTGCGTGGGGATTCCCGCGATCGTGGCCACTACCCGGCCTGCCCTGCGGCAAGATGGCGGCCTGAAGGCATCGGGCAGCGGCAGAAAGTTTGTTTTGGGATTGGAGTAGTCGGGCTGGGATGCTAGAGCTGGGGAATATCGTGGGGACCCTAGCATGGCGTAGGGGCGGAGGAGGGACTAGCTCCGGGGTTGAGAAGAGGAAATGGAATGGTGGAAGGTTGGAGGCGGAGAGAAAACAAGAGGGAGATGGAGGAGGAGGGGAGGGTGCCTAGGAACCGGCGGCAGGCTTAGGGGAGGTTCGGGTCGGGGGAACCAGAAGTAGGTGTGCAAGCCCTGGATAAGCAGTCAAGAATTGAAGGGGAGTTTCTTAATCGAGAGTAAAGAAGCCTGGAGCCTGTGGCTGAGGCCCGACTATACCAGGCCGGTGGGAGAGGACAGGGGTCTTTAATGTGGAGGAGGACAGTGGGAAGTGGGGAGAGAAACCTGGAAGATGCTGGGCGGGTTTGGTAAGGAGGGAACTAAAGCCAGCCGAAATGACCCTCTTCCAGACTCAGATCAGCCTTTCCACAGTTCCTATAGCAGCATCTGCCCCAGTTTCAGCCGAAGACCCAGGGGCCCCAGGGATTGGAAGACATCACAGTGTCTTGGAAAGAAGAAGAGGTAGCGACTTGCCCCAGCCCAACCCCAGAGCGGGTAAGGTGGCCTCCAGTGACAGGCTGTTACGCATCCTGGAAGCAGGATGCATGGGCTCCGAATGATGCGGAGATCATTTAATCTGAGAAGAGCACGCTTCTGTAGAGGTTGCCCTTGCCTGTGGTCCCTAAATTAGTGTTCTGCTTAGATTGCACGCTGATTTGTGAGATTTGGGGGTGGAATTGAGCCTTGTGTGTGTGCCTTCACCTGTGCAAGTGAACACTTCAGAGATAAGGCTGAAAGTATTTTAGCGCATCCCTGTCAGAAGTGGTTTCCTATGTGCTCACTGAATATTTTTTGATCACCCCATCACATCTTCAATTTGGCATCCTGTCTGAAGGTGAGATTTGTGGGTGACTGATGGTGGGGAGTTATGAGAAAACAAGTTTCTGATGGTGTTCACTGACTATTTAGGTACCTGCTGTCACCACCTCTTGAATTCACTCTTGGAGCATGTTTACTTCTTTTGATCTTTCCTTTGGTAAGAAGGGCCTGTCAGTATTCCTTTGAGGATGTGCATTTGGTGGGCAGGTGGGTTCAGAGGAGGGGGGAAAGGCAACTTGGGATTAGGGGGAAGAAACCTAGATCAGTTTATAGTAAGAGGTCAAGCTGACAAGTGTAAAGCCCTGGGAATGTTTGTCACATGACTTTTTGATGCTGAGACTCTTGATGTTTGAGATCTGCTTTACAACCTGCACCAGTGTGGGTAATGAAAGGAAAGGATTATGGAACTTTTCTCTTTTAGTAGCTTTCTTTTCTTCCTTGTATTCTCATCAAATCACATTAAAAAAAAATCACCTTCACTTGCCAAACTAAGAATGGCTTGAGAGATAGTAGATTTGTGATTGGAGAAAAGGGAAGAGGTCTAGAGCCACAGAGTTATAGTGAATATGCCCTATGGTTATGTCCAAGACCAAATTGGGAGCAGACTTCTTATTGAAGCCTGTTTAGGGCTGGCATCTGCTCCTTGATTGAACTGGGAGGTCTGGTTTGATCCAGGACTCTTCATTAATCATCTCCTGCAACCCCCCCACCCCCAAAAAAAAGGCTCCAGACAGCCAACCCAAATCACTATTACTAAGTTAGCTTCAATACTGTCTGGCATTTGAAGAACCAATGCTGTTTAGCTGTGACTCCATTTCTAGAAGGTTGAGAACCTTCTCTTTCTGAGGACAATTTGTGCATGCCCTCCTGGAAATTGTGGTCACCAAGGACAGTGTGCTGAGCACACATAGTAGTTAAGAGCACTGACTCTGGAGCCAGACTGTCTAGTTCAGATCCTGGCTTTTCCATTTGTAGCTCTGTAACCTTTAGAAATTGCTTAGCTCTCTGTGCCTCAACTTTCTCAACAATAAATGTGATAGTAAGAGTACATCTCATACAGTTATTGTGAGAGTTAAATAAGTTAATACTTGAATGCATTTAGAATGATGCCTGACAATATGTATTTATTATTATGCTAGTCAGATCTCAGCACTAATTTCTGCTTTATGAGTGGATGTGGTGTCTGTGAAGGGCCCGTATTGGTTTGGGCTGCTATCCTGATAGAGAGGTGAGACACAGCTTTTGGATAGTATAGTTTTGCATGTAGTGGGATGGTCTCGTTAAGCTTTTAAAAGTAATATTAAAATGACAGTGATTTCCTGTTTGAAGTTGTGAGGCTATAGAATTATCTTCTTTGCAATTGAGCAATAATAATAATACTGCTTATTGAGCATATTCTATGTGCCTGGCACTGTGGTTGACTGCTTTAAATGTATTTACTAATTGAATTTTCATAACAACACTACAAAAGAGACACTGCTATTATCCCTATTTTGCAGATGACTAAGTAGAGGTGCAGAATGGTTATTTTGCTCAAGATGACCCAGCTAGAAAGTGGCAGAGCTGGGGTTTGAACCCAGGCAAAGGGGCTTCAGCAATTGACCATTTTCTTGGGTGGGGGAGTGGATATGGTATGAAGTTAACTTTTAGATATGCTTAGTGGCGGTTTGTATCTCATTGGTTTGACATGTTGGTTAGATGTATATACCCATATTGTAGTAAAATTGTTTTGGTTATTTAAAAAATGTGTTAGGAGCTGAGCTCTTACCACAGCTCTCTTCCTCCTTCCTCTCAGAAATAATGACTGGTGCAGGGACTGTGGTGAAGGAGGCCTCTGTGACATGTTAGCCGAATCTGGACTCTCTTCATGATTCAAGTTGGTGACTGCCCTTTGGAAAACCTAGGGGTGTGGGTTGGGTGAGCAGACTGACATTAGGATCCACTCCTAACGTGCCTTACAGGGGTGTGTGTATAATGTAGATGTAGATGAAAGACTCATTCCTGACTTTGATTACTGACATGAGCAGTTGAAGTAGCCATAGTCTTAAATTCATAGACAATCTGGATGTCCTCTATTTAAAAAAAATAGCAAGTTTCAAACTCACAGAAAAAAATAAGTGGTATTTTAAATAGTTCCCTCCCCCCAGCTTCAGGGGAAAATGGAAAACAAATGTGCTGCTGAGGCTTGCGGCAGAGGCCCTGGCCCAGTGCTTGTCTCTTACCCTTTAGCCAGGCAGGAAGCCTGTGTGCAGCCTTGGGGCAGAGGTGTGCCCAAGGTTTGATTGACTGGCTTATCCTTTGCCCTGTATTTAAGACTCACTCTTCCCCTCCTTCTGACTCATGTCCTGTCTATTTAACACACCCTCAGGGCCCATCTTTTTCTTTAGTAAATGATTCTATACTCTGCCCTCAGAGTAGGCCCAAGCCTGGTGTCTTAAACAGATTTCAGGGGAGTTGGGGGCTCAAAACATAGGGCTTTCCGTGAGAATTCTGACCCAGCCCTGTGATGAACTTTTCTACTTGTTATGGCACATGTGATTTTGAGACTCTTGCTTCCCTCCTCCATTAAATTAGGAGCCACATATCTCCGGGTAATGTACTTTATTTTGATTTGCGCTGCAGTCAGCATGCTGAAACATGTTATTGCCATAAAGTACACCTTTGAGTTTTTGTAGAATCCCTCAGACTTTCTAGATTCCTGTCACATTTTAGCAAATGATTGAACTGCAGGGCAAAGGCTGAGGGATTTTGAGCTTATATCTCCCCCTTTACTGTTTTCTTTTTGTTGTTATCTAAATCAGTGTCTTCTAATAACACCCCTTATTCATGTATTAGCTTGAATCTAATCCCTCACCTCCTCTCATCAACATATTTTGAGTGCCAGGGACTTGGGTAAATTGTGCCAACATTTCTCACCTCATTCAGCATCTTAACAGCTCTCTAGACTCAACCTCATTCTCTCTAGCTTCTGGGCCTTTGCACTTGATAGTCCTGCTTCATGGATTAATTCCCCCTTCTCCCATTTATCTTCTTTCTTTGTCCTCAGTTCTCAGTTTAAATGTCACTTCCCTTGGGATCCTTCCCCACACCTGCCCCTCCACCTTTAGTGCTCTTCTGTGCTTGCTTCTCTTTTAACACTTAGGCTGTGTTGTAATTGCCAATTTTCTTGTCTGACCCTAGTAAGACTTAAGTGCCTGAGAACAGGGACCATATTTTAGTATTATATTCTAGTATAGTAGAATAGTGCAGGACACCTAACAGGTGCTTTATAATGCTGTGGTGCATATAGAATGAATAAAATGTGGTGGAGTCTCTTCCCACTCCAATCTGTCTTACGTGCTGTTGTAAAAATTACTTTCCTATATGAAAAATAATTTCTCAGCAATGAAATTGAATTGGTAATCAAAAAACCACCCAAGAACAAAACCCCTGGACCAGATGAATTCACTGCTGAATTTTATCAGACATTTAGAGAATACATAATACCCATTCTCCTTAAAGTTTTCCAAACAATAGAAGAGGAGGGAATACTTCCAAACTCATTCTATGAAGCCAGTATAACTAATACCAAAACCAGGCAAAGACACCACAAAAAAAGAAAACTACAGACCAATATCCTTGATGAACATAGATGCAAAAATACTCAACAAAGTATTAGCAAACCAAATTCAAAAATACATCACGAGGATCATACACCATGGTCAAGTAGGATTCATACCAGGGATGCAAGGATAATACAACATTTGAAAATCCATTAACAACATCCACCACATCAACAAAAAGGACAAAAACCACAAGATCATTTCCATAGATGCTGAAAAAGCATTCGACAAAATTCAACATCCATTCGTGATAAAAACTCTCAACAAAATGGGTATAGAGGGCAAGTATCTCAACATAATAAAGGCCATATATGACTAACCCACAGCCAACATCATACTTAACAGCGAGAAGCTGAAATATTTTCCCCTGAGATTGGGAACAAGACAATGCCCACTCTCCCCACTTTTATTCAACATAGTACTGGAAGTCCTAGCCACGGCAATCAGACAACACAAAGAATAAAAGGCATCCAGATTGGTAAGGAAGAAGTCAAACTCTCACTTTTTGCAGATGGCTTGATATTGTACATAAAAAACCCTAAAGAATCCACTCCAAAACTACTAGAACTAGTATCTAAATTCAGCAAAGTTGCAGGATACAAAATTAATACACAGAAATGTTACATTCCTATACACTAATGATGAACTAGCAGAAAGAGAAATCAGGAAAACAATTCCATTCACAATTGCATCAAAAAGCGTAAAATGCCTAGGAATAAACCTAACCAAGGAAGTGAAAGACTTATACTCTGAAAACTACAAGACCCTCTTAAGAGAAATTAAAGAGGACACTAATAAATGGAAATTCATTCCATGCTCTTGAGTAGGAAGAATTAATATTGTCAAAATGACCATCCTGCCTAAAGCAATATACAGATTCAATGCAATCCCTATCAAAATACTGACAGCATTCTTCAACAAACTGGAACAAATCATTCTAAAATTCATGTGGAACCACCAAAGACCCTGAATAGCCAAAGCAATCCTGAGAAGGAAGAATAAAGCAGGGGTTATCTCGCTTCCCAAATTCAAGCTCTACTACAAAGCCACAGTAATCAAGACAGTTTGGCACTAGCAAAAGAACAGACCCATAGACCAGTGGAACAGAATAGAGAGTCCAGATATTAACCCAAGCATGTATGGTCAATTAATATATGATAAAGGAGCCATGGATATACAATGGGGAAATGACAACCTCTTCAACAGCTGGTGTTGGTAAAACTGGACAGCTACATGTAAGAGAATGAAACTGGATTACTGTCTAACTCCATACACTAAAGTAAACTTGAACTGGATCAAAGACATGAATGTAAGTCATGAAACCATAAAACTCTTAGAAGAAAACAGGCAAAACTCTCTTGATTATAAACATGAGCAACTTCTTCATGAGCATATCTCCATGGGCAAGGGAAACAAAAACAAAAATGAACAAGTGGGATTATATCAAACTAAAAAGCCTCTAAAGCAAAGGACACCATCAGTAGAACAAAAAGGTATCCTACAGTATGGGGGAATATATTCATAAATGACATATCTGATAAGGGGTTGACATCCAAAATATACAAAGAGCTCATGCACCTCAACAAACAAAAATCAAATAATCCAATTAAAAAATGGGCAGAGGATCTGAACAGACAGTTCTCTAGAGAAGAAATTCAGATGGCCAACAGGCACATGAAACGATGCTTCACATAGCTAATCATCAGAGAAATGCAAAGTAAAACCGCAATGAGATATCACCTCACACCAGTTAGGATGGCCAATATCCAAAAGACAACAACAAATGTTGGCAAGGATGTGGAGAAAGGGGAACCCTCCTACACTGCTGATGGGAATGTAAACTAGTTCAACCATTGTGGAAAGCAATGTGGAGGTTCCTCAGAAAACTAAAAATAGAAATACCATTTGACCCAGGAATTCCACTCTTACGAATTTACCCTAAGAATGCAGGAGCCCAGTTTCAAAAAGACATATGCACCCCTGTGTTTATTGCAGCACTATTTACAGTAGCTGAGAAATGGAAGCAACCTAAGTGTCCATCACTAGATGAATGGATAAAGAAGATGTGGTATATATACACAATGGAATATTATTCAGCCATAAGAAGAAACCAAATCCTACTATTTGCAACAACATGGATGGTGCTAGAGGGTATTATGCTTAGTGAAATAAGCCAGGTGGAGAAAGAGAAGTACCAAATGATTTCACTCATCTGTGGAGCATAAGAACAAAGCAAAAACTGAAGGAACAAAACAGCAGCAGACTTACAGAACCCAAGAATGGACTAACAGTTACCAAAGTGAAAGGGATTAGGGAGGGTGGGTGGGAAGGGGGGGAGAAGGGGAATAAGGGGCATTACGATTAGCACACATAATGTGTCGGGGGGCATGGGGAAGGCAGTATAGCACAGAGAAGACAAGTAGTGACTCTATAGCACCTTACTGTGCTGATGGACAGTGACTGTAATAGGGTATGTGGTGGGGACTTGATAATGGGAATCTAGTAACCACAATGTTGATCATATAATTGTATATTAATAATACCAAGAAAACAAAAGATGTCTCTTCCCTTAGAAATGCCATTGTTTCTCTCTCATTTAGGATAAAGTCCACCCTCTGGCTCAGCATGCAAAAAGCTTTCTTATGCTCTGGCCCAAACTCAGCCCTGTAGCCTGAATTGCTGCCACCCAACTTCATCTGTCCTGTTCTTCATTGCTCCAAATTTCCTACTGCTCTTGAACCTCTTATGGCAGTCCATTTACTTTATTCTTTGCTTGTGCAGCTCACCTCTGTCTGAAGCTCTGCTCATTCCCTAAGACCCAGCTCCTCTGTGATGCCCAGTGAGAATTCTCTGCTTTCCTTTCCTCCTTTTGGCCTCTGCAGCACCCTGTTTAAACCTGTTTTCTGGCACTTACCATGTTGTATGGTGAGTTCTTTCTTTATATGTCTCTTTCACTGAGCTGACCCACTGTAGAGGAGGGGCCCTCCCTGGTCTTGAGGTGGGGTTGGGGTAATACTGAGGAGACTGAGAGGGTGGGAGGGGTAGGAATTGGCAGCAGGGTGAGCAGTGTGATAGAGTTTGGAGCTGGGCAGACTTGTTTTCAGTCTTGACTCTGCCACTTACCAGCTGTGTGACTTCAGGCCTGCTGCTTAACCAGTAGGATCCTTGGTGTTTTCCATGTAAAATGAGGGTGACCTCATCTTTTTTGCAGAATAATGAGTTCATAGATATAGCATGGTGCCTGGCCATGGGATAGGATGCTCAGTAAATATTTGTTGAATGAATGCATACCATTTTTGGAAAATGCAGTGGATAAAAAAAAGGCTTTGTTTATTCAAGCTGGACTAAGCCTTTTGACTTCTGCCAGGTGGCCAGGAGCGTTTTTGAGGTGGGAGTGAAATTGAAAGAATCTCCTTTCTTGTGATGAAGCAATAATAAAGGTGAGACTGGGAAATATCATGAATGAGTAGCCTGTGCAAAATCATATTGTTGATGCTTCTCCCAATCTCTTACGTTGTAATGACCCCTTTGATGGATCATGCCATGCATGTGAGATTGGTGGTAACCCTGCTGGATACAGTCAGGAGGTGAGTAGGTGGTGGATTTGTAATGTAGTTAAGGCTGTGCATGACTCGTGGTGTTTGAGGATCCATACTCCATGGTACTTTGTGGACTAAAAATGTTGAGTGACGCTGATGGAACACATTTAGGCATTGAGGAAGCCAGACCTCTTGGCCCCAGTTTTCTTAGGGCTTTGATGATGTCCTTGTTCCACAGAATGGGCTTAGCTCAGATACTCCCCAGAAGTGGTGCTGGTAGCTGAGAGTTGCTGTCCTTTTTTGTTTAGATAATGGGGGTCATTCTTAAGGCACCAGCAAACACCAAAGGAATTTGTTTCCAGATCCCTAGACCTCTTAACTGTATAAGCTAGGTGGTGGTCCAGTGTGAGTTTACAATCAGATGAGGAAGGTATATCTGAGTTCTTGGGAGGGCAGCCTTCTTGTCTGGTCTTTAAACCCCTGCCCCAGGCAGGTGCCTCTCTGTGATCTTAAAGCACTCACCACACTGTCAGGCAAGTGGCTGTTAACTTGTCTCTCCCCAACTAGGGGCAAGGTCTTTTATCTGAAGCTTCTTAGGAGCAGGGTGTTTTACTGAAGGCTGAGCATTTAGGCCCTAAATAGCAGGTGCTAAACAATCCTGGTTACTGTGTGATCTGATCCAGTCCTTCCTCAATGAGACTAAAAGATTATCTGGCAAAATCTTTTGAATTCCTAAGAAGAATATTTTGCAGAAACAAAATGAATGTAGTAACAGTAGCATTGAAAATTATTTTCCAGGGTTGAGTTAATGTGGTTAAATGATCTTTCAGGTATTTGGCTTCAGCTATCTCACCTTTCAGCCTTATGTTCTATAACACATCCCTAAACCAGCAGGAAGGGGTGAAAAGATGAGGCAAAATACACACCACCAGTATATTTTTTTGCTCAATCAGTATCTCCTAGTCATTCTCATCATCCTTAATCAGGATCCTTCTAATCATTTTTGTGTGTTTGTGTTTCTAGACATTACTCATCATGTGTTGCCTGTAAAAGAAACAAAACTCAATAATCATATGTACTGTTATTCAGCTTGCTCTGTTACCTAGCAAGTTACCTAGGGGTAGAGGAGTGCCTGTGGAGGCTTTGAAGGGCCTGGCTGTAGCCCACTTCCCGCTTGGTGGGTTCCTCTGGCGCTGGCTCCTTGGGGGGATGGTGAAGCTTCACTCGAGGTGCTTGCCACAGCAGGCTCCCTGGTTGTCTCTGAGGGATTGATTTTCACTCTGAGATGAATTGTCTGGTAGGGGTGTCCTCGAGTGGGAGTCGAATACGAGCCTGATGTGGGCATTAACATTTCTTCTCACGTGCGTTTCTCACCTTCATTCCTCTTTAATCTTTGCCTAGGAAGAGAGTGAACTTACCTGATTTCTCAGCCTCTGTTTTAGTACAGGGAGAGTCCCTGGTCTCTGAAACCTTGGATCAGCAGGTCACTTGCTGCTCTACCTTTTGAAAGCAAACCAGACTTAGCTGATGTTTTTTTATTTTTTTGTGTGGGTGAGGATTCTGAAAGTAGCCTGTCAATGGCCTCACTTTCTTACCAGTCTAGGGAAGAGGCCAGAGCCCACAGGAAGAGTTTTCTTCTCTTCTTGAGGGTTATCTCACCCTCTGTGGTCAGGCCTTGGCCTTTTGAGCTCTGGGGCTGTTGTCAGAGCAATATGGGGAGCCCGATGATTAGGTGGTTGGGAAGCCTAGTGGAGGTTTTTCCTGCCCATGGTAATCATTAACTGAGGCTTCGGAGAGGCCAGGCTCATCGTATTTGGAGCCAGAGTGGCCACTATCTTCCCTTTCTACCCTGAGTCATCTCATCATCTGCAGGGCTTTTTTTTTTTTTTTATCTTATTTTTTCCCTGTCAACATGTTGCCCCTCTGTACTAAGCACCAGCAGTATTTGCTGAGTATTCTCTGGCTTTCCTGTCCTGCACCCTTGGGGTTGCATCTTGTGGGTCTTGGGGACTCTGCTGTGGCTGCAGTTGTCTTGAGATCTCTAAGCCAGAGTGTGTCACTTCCTTTAGGGTAGTTCTGGAGGCTTCAGGAAGAGTGCATTCTGCTGTGTACTGAGCTAGCTGGGGGTGAAATAGTCCCTGTTGGAGTCTGGGGAGCCTGGCTCTGTCCTGGCTTTATTCTTGCTCTGTTGGTTTTTCTGGGGCCAGCTCCCTGGGAAGTGCCATCCCCCTGGCTTTTTTAGAAACTGAAAGGTGGCAGTGTGCCACCCCTTCCCTTAACTGGCCCAGGTGTGGGCCAGGTCACACACTGCCCGATTGTACTGTGCTTTGATGCAGCTCTGGTTGAAGCCTCTGATCCCTGGACCAGCTCTCTCCCAGCCCCTTTCCTTGGAGCCTGTGAGAATAAGGTGAACTCTGTTGGCACAGGCATGGGATGGGTGGCAGCTGCAGCTGTGGGTGGCTTTGTTCTTAGAGCCCAGCTTTCAGAGCTATGGTTCAGCCTGGCAGTGGTGTTTGGGGACTAGGTGAGACAGGGGAACTGCCCCCCTGGTGGGAGGGCCCCCTTCCAGAACAGCCATCTTTTTTTGACCAACCAGAGAGCCTTGTTACCTGGGGTCAGCAAGCTGGGCTCACTGGATGGCAGGGGGATTGCTGCACTTCCATGTGGCGTGGTTTCTGGATGTGAGAAAATCCCTGGGAATCTAGTGGGAAGTCTGGAGGAGCTTCCCCTTTCAGGAGAGTGGTGTGTACCCTTGGGCATCCTGCAGCTTGGCATTCCTTCTGCTCTCTCTTTGCAGCTCCGGAGTTGGGCTGCTCACAAACCAAGCTGTCTGTTTATATGGAGTGCCTGGAGGGCGTCTGCCATGAGTCTGTCGCTAACCATGCTAACCAGGAGAGCTGGCTGGTTGGGGAGAAGACACTAACCCTGTGAGTCTGACTCGGGCCTGCTAACCTGCCCTGGGAGTACCATCAGCAGTGCCTGTCCTCTCCCCTCCCCGAGCCCCCTCTCCCAGCCCCCTCCTTGTAGCTTACATCATGCCATCCCTTCTGCTCCCTTGTCCTTATACTGGATTCTCTCCCTCTTCCCAGTGTCTTTTCTGGGGTGGGGATGTGCCTCTTCCAGGGCCAGGAGAGGGGGTTTCCTGTGCACAGTCACCTGCTCATCTACCAGCTGCTGCTGGATTCTGCCCTCCACCCCTCTCAGTTCTCCCTTAAAAGAAAATTGGTTAGTTCTGTTGAATCTGCTTTTAGCACATGGAGTTTGAGAATACCTTTCAGCTACCATGCTGTTTGTGTTTCATGCCTCAGACAGATGGAGCTAGAGTGGGAAGGTAATTTCCTTCTAGATGGATAATTTCCTTTTTTCAAGAGGGAGTATGGAATCGTGTTCACATTATTTTCACCCCAGGATAATAATTTAAGATCGATCAGAAGGTTCTCCTTGGGGTTGGGGAGGTTGAGGAGAACCTTGGCCTGGCTGTGGGAAATTCCCTTGGCAGAAGAGTGAAGCTACTTAAGCTGGAGCCCAGAACTAGGTACCCATCTGAGATGTAGCTCCTGTTGGTGACTGTTGCTCTCGTAGGTGGCATGGGTGCAGTTTGGTCCCCTACTTCTTTCCAGGCTGGAGCTTCAGGTTGACTTGAGTGGGGAAGAATAGCTAGGAAGGACTGTAGCCCGAAGGGCAGGACGTGGCTGTGTACTCCACCATGGGCCTAAGAGAGGCCTTGTCCTCAGCCTGCCGTGGAAAAGCTCCTGCCAAGCTCCCTTCTCCCTCCAGGCTTGGAAAGGACAAGGGGGCTCTGGGGATAGAAAGAAGGCCAATTGCTTGGGCTCCTTGGTGTTCTGCACAGCAACTCTTTAGACAGACTCTCAGTGTCTCTAGCCTCTGGAGGCAGTGCAGTATGGGTAGGCTGGTTGCAGGAACCTGAGACCAGAAGGCCCTATAAGCATATGGATTCTGTTTCCCCTGGGCTAGAGGGAAGAAGGCAGGGAACTGCTTGCTAGCAGGGGGTGGGAGTGCATAAATGTGAGAAGGTATAGGTCCTGCATGGATGTGCAAGGACTTTGAATCGGGAGTCAGCAAGCTGGAGGGGTCTGTGGCTTGGGTCTGACAAGGAAAGCGCAAGGGGTCTGGGGTGGAGGGCTGCTTCAGGCCCATGCCTCACTTTGCCCTTCCTTAGGAGAGGGCATGGGGACTGGTGTCAAATGCTGGTTAGGACCTTGGGGATTTTTTTGCCCTCCCCTTATGATGGGGTGGGCAGTTTGGCTTACTTGGATCATCATCATCAGTTTCTTCAGCCCCTTTGTTCCTGTCAAGTGTTTGCTTGAAAGAGAGACCAGGTGGATAGACTTGAGGTATTTGCTCAGGTGGGGAGCCATATGAGCTCTTACAAGTCACCAGTGTTCATTCTGGGCAAAGTAATTCCTACCCATTTTGGCTTTTAAAAACCTATCAGTCTGTTCTGCTTAGAGCAGGCAGGGCTCCAGGTCAGGGCCACAGGCAGCTTGTCCTAAGAGGGTGAGGTTGTACTTGCCCAGAGGGGCAGCAGGCATGGCTGTTAGAAGGGCAGCAGGGCTGGCCTGGGCACAGACTGGCATCTGCCAGCCTAGTCCTTGGCCTAGAGTGGAGCGCACCCAGGCTCCACCTCATGCTCTGTTGGCTGCTTGCCTGCCACGCGTCCAGGATTGCTGAGGGCTTTGCTCATGTATCTCAGGAACAGCTGCAGGCCGGAAGTGGGGGGGCTGGTGGCAAGCAGGAGGGAAAGGCTGAACATAGCCAGCTTTGGTAGGATTGGCTCACTGTGCTGCTGTTACTGACAGGCAGGGTGGACAGGGACTAGAATAATGGTGGGGGTGGGGTGGGGGGTGGCCCTTGTGGGCAGTCCCCAGGGTCCCTGCTAGGTCAGCTGGTTACAGGGCTGGCCCTTGCAGGCTGGTGGTTTCTGTTTCTTGGGCGTCAGCTGGAGGCAGAGCCAAGATTTCAGAGATTTGAGAAGCAGCCAGGCTAGTATGGAAGGAGTGTGCCTTGCCCCAAGTGGCACAGTTTCCTCCAGGCTTGTTGAGTTCAGAGACTGTGTCCAGGGTTTATAGCTGAGGACTCTTCCCACAGCGGAGGCACTAGTCCCTGAGTTTATGTTTTAGCAGTTGATTAGGGGCTTTAGGAAGGGTCTGTGTTTTTTATTACTTTCATCCTGCTGGGTTCCAAGGGAATTGCAGGATACAATATGACTTGAATATTATGAAAAAGAGCCAGTATTCCTTTCATTGTAAAAGCAGTAGTGTTTGCTAACTTCCTTTTGACTTTCTTTGGGTGAATTATGAGGAAGAACTTTAATGATTTTTATGGTGATGTATGGGCTCCTTGATCCCAAAGATTGGGTTCATTGACTCCTCAGGTCCTTCACTGCCCGATCAGTGGCAGCTGTTGGCAGAAAGGCATATCAGTAGGTTTGGAAATGGTCTGAGCCTAGACAAACTGTTGGGCCATAATTTCTTAAAGAGAATGTGGGTGATGTGGGGAGTTGGGGAGGCAGCTTGTCTCTCCAGGGCAGGACAGCTGAACTGGAGTAGGGGTGCAAAGGGAGATAGTCACGTAGAACATGGGGAACCGAACAAGATAATCTGGTGGGGAAAGGCTGAAGTTTGAAAAGCTAGAGCTACACCCATTTTTAATTCAACCTGTCTTCCTCTGCTGGACCACTGTTAAGGGGGTGGCCTCTGAGCCCTCAGCAGGGAGAAAGCTGGATACTTGGATCTCCCTTCCTCTCCTGTGCTTTTGACTTTGCCCAGGGCCTTGGGCAGCCCCAGAGAAAGTGTGGCAGTAGGAAGTAAGAGGGTGTCCTTGGCTCTTGGGCTTGAACCTTTTTGCTGTTGCCTCCTGTGGATGTTTTCCGGGAGTAGGGGTAAGGATAGAGTTTGGAGTCAGTTCAGTATTCTCAAGTGGATTCTCCTTGGCCTACTCTGTCGCCAGCAGCAGTGCTCTCTGACCATGGTGGAAGCCTCTGGTCACCTACATACACATACTCTCCATGTCCACAAAAGGCAGCAGGTATGAGTCCTGTCTCCTGGTTAAAGGGTGATGATTGGCGTGCTTTGTGTCCTTTGATTAAAGGACTCTACTCAGTCAACTTCTGGTGCACGTTTCTCCTTGTATCTGTTTCTGACTACATTCTGGCTCAGCTGTTCAGTGGGTTCACAGTGCAGGTTTGCTGTGCGTGCCGAGTCCCATTTCTAATGAAAGTAGACTTTGTTCTCTGGAGGCAGCTAATCATGCCCCATGGGCTGTAATCAGGGAGAAGGTATTTAATACAGGGCAGGAGGCAAGAGGCGGCCTGCACTGACTGGCAGATTGCAACATGGCAATTAGGAGGCTATCACCCCCCTCTCCATCCCAGCAGATACGGGGTTGAGTCTCTCCACTGGTCTGATTTTGAGTAAGGGAAGAATGAATACTATGCAGAGGAGGGAGGAGGCGGGGTTAGGTGGAGTGGTGTGGGGGCGGTGAGGAATGAGAGCTGCTTTCCCCTCTCACCTCATCTGCATGAGGTGGGGAAGGTGTGCCGCTGCTCTGGGTGTCTCCCTCAGCAGGGCCTGCAGGTCCAGCCCAGGAGCCTCAGACTAGCCTGGGTCAGCCAGAGGTTTTAACCCAGGCCTCGGCCTTTCCCACAGCACAGCTGTTCTTGGAGTACAAACCCAGCATGTGATCTGGTAGGCCCACATCCTCAGGCATCTGCTCCCAATTCCTCGAAGCTCCAGTAGTTTGGGGTGAGGGGTGGGCGTTGGATTCTTCCCTGCCAATTTCTACTTCCAGAAGACCATTTTCTTGGTGGTGCCCTGGAACAAGCTCAGCATCAAGCAAGAGGCCCTAAAGGCTCTTGGCTTGCTCATCACAGCCCATGTCCCATTCTCAGTTGTCCAGCTGCTTACCCTGGGTACCTTCTCAACTTGACACAATATTGGGAGTCCTCCGTGAGCTGAAACAACCTGGGAACTTTGGGGGAAGGAGATGTGGCCAGTGGAGGCTGCACCTAATAGCTGAATCTTCCTGGAGGGACTGCTCTGCTCCCTTGCAACTCACCTTTCATCTCTTACCTGTGGGCCTTGGGTCTAGCTGCTTCTTGGCTTTGTTCTCCACTGCATCTGGCATTGCTCTCACCCCTGGGTCTGTCCTTCCTTGAAGCACTTCCAGTTAAGGACAGCCATTGTGTTCCTGTTTACTGCTGGAATTGTGGCCCCCTGTGGACTGGATCTGGGGCACTTAGGAGATCTCAGGAGTGGGAGCTAGGGCCCCAGTAAACACTGGTATTTATAAACATGGAGCAGGGAGTAGCATAGATTCTCCCTTGGGAACTTGTGTTGGGGACGCTGCCGGCCCCCTGGTAGACTGTCTCCCCAGTTGGGAGTGGTCCTACCCGCTGTGACTGATGTGTATGAAAAGAGGAGGCTTTGGCTGGGAGAGGGAAACCTCCATCACCACTACCATTCATCCCATAGAGTCCATCTGCAGTTACTCCCCATCTCACTGCAAACCACATCCATGCTGTCTGTCTCTTCAGCAGGGCAGCTCATCTGGCCAGAAAACGCTGGGAATATGTGCTGTGGGGCAGAGGAGTGGGGACTGAGGTCAAGATGAAGCAGGAGGAGCTTGTAGGATGTGTGACAACTAGAGGCTGGGCTGCAGAGCATGGAGGCCACTCTCCTACAGGTAGTTACCGGGTACCTGAGTATGTCAGTGTCTTCCCTGCGTGCATACTGCTCAGCCAGGAGTCCTGGTGCCTGGAAGACAGCGTGGGCATTGGCAGGAATAGGGCTAGAGAAGTAAAGAAGACACCAAGAATAGAGGTGGGGGTCACGAAGAAGCCTGCTGGGGGTTGGGGGCTACTCAACTGGTTAGGGAACTGATGGGGAACGGAACAAGGGGCCTGTTTTCTCTGTAGAGAAGGGAATAAGGCAGAGGCCAGCTCTGGAGCCACTCCTAGATTTTGTAGAAGCTCTTGGCGACCTTAAGGATTAAGAGTATCTCTTAATCCTGTGTCTCTTGCTCTTCCCCCTTTTTCAGCTCATGTACATGCCATACTCAATTCACTCTGAGTATCACAACTCAAGTACCCAGGCTGGCTTGGGACTTTCTGGGCCTGTCCCTAGGCCATAGTAGCTCCCACCCTGGGGCCCTCTGGAGGGGTAGCCCCAGGGAACCTGTGGGGGTGGCTTGTTTGTTCCCGCACACCCCAGGAGTGTGCTGTCCTTTCAGGCCTGCCCGGATTCCTGAGAAGGGAGTCAGCCAGACACAGCATGCTGCTTGTGCCCTGTGGGGACATGTTCTGCCTCACCATCAAAGGGGTGGAGGTTGGCGGCTCGTGCCTGCTGCCACGCCCCAGAACCCCAAGCCAGAGACCAGGCTGCCCAGATGGAGGAGGAAGGCCACTCCTGCTTCCCTGCCTCCTCTACTCCTCACAGTCCTTCCTGCTTCGGGCCCGTTGGAATGTGACAGGAGTCATGGCCAGAGCAGGTCCTGACAGCAGCAGCACTTGCTTTAGCCTGCAAGGCTTCCCTCAGCCCCCAGCTCTATTTAGATGGATGGCAGGGGGAGAGGGTTTATGCCCAGAAGGCCACCTAAGGTTACTCTGTTGGTCCCTGTGGTGGCTGCTGCCCCCGTGCTGCAGCCCAGCTCATTACAGGTGGGGGAAGAGCTTGGAACCCTGAGAACCTGGAGGGGACCTCATAGGTCACGCAGTCAGCCACCTCTGTGTGGATGAGGAACAGGCTTATCCAGTGAGGAAAGGCCTTACCCAGGGCCACACAGTGTGTCGGAAGCAGCACTGAGCCTGCAACCCAGGTGTCTCAGCTCCCAAGACTTGGGCTCTCTGCACCAGGGTTTCTCAACATTGGCACTTGTCAACCTTTCAAAGAATTAGCTTTCCTGAGGGGGCAGTGCTGTGTACCGCACAGTGTTTAGCCACATCCCTGGCCTCCATTCATTAGATGGCAGTAGCTCCCAGCTGTGTTATGACAACCCAAAATATGTTTATAGACATTTGCCAAATATCTGGGAGGGGGAGGGGGAGGGGCAAAGTGTGTGTGTGTGTGTCCCTCCTGGACCTAATCCTCCTCATTACAAGGTCTGTTTACTAGCATTGTACACAGTAGTCATCTTTGGGCTCATTTTGGAACCATTATAGGAGCTTTCTTTCCCATCTTCTCAGGTCTCTACTAGGCTTTTTCCTGGTATTCTCTTCTACAACCTAGGTTCTTCAAATCTCTTAGTTATTTCCAGACTCTGAGAGGACATATGTGGGTAGGATGGTGACAGGACAGGGCCAGAGCTGTTCCAGAACCAGGCATGTGGTAAACTGATGCCATGAATTCTTACAGACACACATGTATCCTATTGGGCCTGTGACATTGCTTTCGTGGAGAAAGTCAGGAGCCCAGCACTTCTAGGTCTCTCCTGTCCCTACCATTTCCCCCTCAGACCCTGTTCCATGGCTTTCCTTCTTGGCTTTCCCTAGGGGGCCTTCAGGTCCTCCACTGGACAGGCTGGCCTGTGGTGCTGACAGACAGGCGGCTGACACCTGGTTTCCACTTTCTTCCCTTCTCTGGTTTCAGGAGCTTTTGGCTAGAGGAAGTGGAGGGGCCGTGGGATGTGGAGAGCCGAGGGCTAACTCTTGGACAGCGGAACAGAGAGAGCTGCCGACAAACAGACGGTATGTTCCATGAGGCCTGTGCCCCCCACTTGGCTCCCTTCCGGGGAGGATGGCAGGTGAGGGGCAGCCCACCTCTTGGTGGGGGTTGGTGGAAAGAGTGGTGGAGGCCAGAGAGGCTTGGCCTTCAGGGCTCTCAAACTGGGAGACCCCCCACTGAGAAGCCTAGGTACACATCCTCAACCCTCACCTGGTTATGACTTTTTAGGTTAGCATTTACTGCACATTTCCTAAGTGCAAGGTACTGTTGTTAGTGCTGTATATAATCTTCACAATGACCTATGAAATTGTTGCTCTTTTGATCCCCAGTTTAGAGTTGAAACTGATACACTGGGGGCAGTTTTCCCTCTGAGGCCTTCTAAACCCAGAAAGGTGCATGGTGGGCTGCTCTTGGACCCCTCGCCCCACTGCTAGGGCATAGTCTCCTCTTCTTGGTACCCAGGCCCTAGGCTCTGCCTCTCCCACCTGTCTGTTTCCATTGGACCCGTGCCCTGCTCCAGCACTCCCCTGACCTATGGGCACTGACACACCAAAGTCCAGCCCTTCTAATGACCCCAGCAATGGCTCAGGCCCATCTGCCTGCCCGGTGGCTCCTATATATGTCATGTCCCCTTTTACTCACTTTTTCCCTCAGTCCAGAGGCATCTCACCCATGTCTCTGAGCCTCCTCCTTCCTTGCTTCCCCTTAGCAGGTTGAGGAGCACCCAACTCCCAGAATGACCAGTGCAGCCCCTGCTAAGAAACCCTACCGCAAGGCACCGCCTGAGCATCGGGAGTTGAGGCTGGAGGTTCCTGGATCGCAGCTGGAGCAGGAGGTCAGCAAGACTGGTAGCCCTTCCCTGGCTGGCAGATGCAGCCCCAGAGGCTGGATGTCTATCTGACTTCTGCCCGAGGGGACCTCTGGCCCCCCAAGTCAGGGTGAGGGTTACTGACAAACGTTGGGGTCTCCCAGCTGCAGCGCTGCTGGTGGGGGCAGTGCAGACTCAGGGGATAGCTGTGCTACATGTCCACATGTCAGGGAACCTCAGAGCCTTTGGGGTCCAGTAGAAATGATCTCATGCGGTACTATTATTCCTGCAAGAGGCAGCCCACCAGACTGAGGGGTCCTAGCCTGTTGGAGGCTGGGACTTCTATCCTTTATTAGTAGAGGAGAGCCAGTTACCCTGCAGTCCTTTGGGGGCTATTAGGAGGTGGTGCTCCAGCCATGGCCCACCAGACCAGCTGTTCCTCATTATCCCCAGAAGTCTGGCCCTTCCTCCAGCTTTGCTGTATTTGGCTAACATTTGTTAAATACATGCTTCATACCAGGAACTGCCTTAGGTTCCTAAGGAGCGTTTTGCAGGCAGCTGCAAAGTATTGGCCTAAATGGCCATGCTTCCTCATTAAGCGCACTCTCAGGTGGAAACAAGTGTTGGCGTGTGTTCGTCTTGCTGCTGTGTTTCCACCCTGTTGTGTGTGGAGGACAGTTAAAGAACTTGATAGTCAACATGTGCTGAGCCTCAGGCGTGCCATGGCCTGCTTTGGTCAGCCTCAGGGCAGAAAGGCCATGACTTGCCCATTTTCAGTTCAGGGAACATTAAATTAAAAGGGCAGGTATTGTACTAGGTGCCACCCAGTAGGCCTACCCCTGGTTTTGAAGATGAGGACACTAAAGCTCAGTGAGGTTAACATAGCCAGTGTGTGGCAGAACGGGATCAAATCCAGGCTCCGGTGGCTCCCAAGTCCATGGTCGGGGTTCCCTGCCTCATTTTCCTGCCTGTGATTGGTGTGCTGAAGCAGTCAGCTCCATTCGGGGTGGGTCCTTCTCCAGCTGAGGACCCTTCCCTCTTGCCATGGCATATGCCTGCTCTGCTTTGTGGTTAGCTGAGTTCTATCTCTTGGGCCATGACCAAGATGGAGGGCTTGGGGCAGGAGGAGGACAAGGGACGGCTTGGGGAGGATGGGGCAGGAGGTCAAAATCAAGAGAAGACCCTTGACTCCCCTCAGTCAGGATCTGACTGTGCACTCATTCCCCCTGGCCTCTGTAATGGCCTCATTCTGCCCCTTCTTTCCCACCAGAGGCCAGGAGGGCCCGATCAGAGCTCAGAACCCTGCCATAGCTTGCCTAACTTCTTCACTTCTCTGGAAGGAAGGTTTCTGCCATGCCTACAGGGCCTCCCAGGAGCCCTGGGAACAGCTGAGAGGCTCTCTATCTCAGGGAAAGGTGGCATGGGTACCAGGATTCATTTGCCACTGGATGTCGGATTAAGAGAGGGGTTAGAGCAGGTATGGGTTGGGGTGAGGATTGGAAGGGGTCCTTGAGTCTTCTGGTTGGCTTGGAAGAGAGTCATCTAGGCTTGTCCAGGTCTTACTGGACTGCCTCCATCTCTGCAGGGCCCTGCTGCCCACTTCTGCTGTCAGATTCTTTGGGCTTCAGACATGGCCCTTGCCAGGGCTCTTTGGAGGGTGGGCCAAGCAGGCGGCCAGTGGTCCAGAGATGAGTCTCACAGTTCTGTTCTTTTGTGCCCAGGAGCCCCTGACTGATGCGGAGCGGATGAAGTGAGTATCTGCTGCCTGAGAGCCTGACCTGCTTTACCGTAGCTCTGTCCCACTTAGCTTGGGGCAAGGCTATTGGTACAGTTGGGCTTTTCCTTGGATTAAGTAGAGGTAGGGGTGGGCTGTTCAGGAACTCTGGGACAGGAGGCTTGATGTGCATATTCCTTCTGGAAAAAGAAACTTTGTTCCATGGACCCCAAGAGAACCTGGAATCAAGGAGTTGGATGGCTGTGAGGGGACTGCTCTTGTCAAAGAGCCTTTCCCAAGCTCCTAGCCCTCCTGCACCAGCTGCCTCCCTGCAGTCCTGTCTGTCAGCCACACGAGGCCCCTGGAGGGGAGTGCAGTGCTGGGCTGGATTTCCAAGAGATTAATAATGGAGCAGTCTGATTGTGAAGTGGGGAAACTGGAGCTTGGGGCTCGGTGGCTGGCTGACTTAGGCTGTAACCAGAGACAACTGTACCCTTCCTCCAATTCTGTGTTTCCATTCTTCTCCACTGAGGGGGGTTGGGCTGTCCTTTGCTGTCCCCTCTGCCTCCTCACAGTCTCCAAGCCAGGCTGTGTTCTCAGCACCCGCAGGCCTTTGGGATGTGCAGGCTGAGTTTCACCGAGTCCCCTGTCCCCAGATGCTTGTTTTCATGTCCTCCCTGCTCCTTCCGTCCTGAGCCCAGCCTGGGGCTCCAGGGCTGGCGCTTCTCTTTCTGATGCCCCTCTACTCTTGACCCCTCATCCTGCCAGGCTCTTGCAGCAGGAGAATGAGGAGCTTCGCAGGCGCCTGGCTTCAGCCACCAGGCGCACTGAAGCTCTGGAGCGTGAGCTGGAAATCGGGCAGAACTGCCTGGAACTGGAGCTGGGCCAGAGCCGTGAGGAGCTGGACAAGTTTAAGGACAAGTTCCGCAGGTGTGGCAACAAGGGGCTAGGACACACATACACACATCTCCCCATTACATACATCACACATCTGCCTGGAAGAGGCGTTGGAGAGCATTGATTCTGATGAGAAAACTGAAGTCTTGGGAGGAGAATGACTTGCTTAAGATCCCACATGAAGGCGGGATCTTGACCCAGGGGTCTGCCTTGTATTCCTCTGCAGGCTGCAGAACAGCTACACAGCTTCCCAGAGGACCAACCAGGAACTGGAGGACAAGCTGCACACGCTGGTAATCTGAGGAGGCAGTGTGGCTGGCACTGTGCTCACAGCATAGCAAGGGGCTAGGACCTGCCTGGGGAATGCCTTTCTGCTCTGGGGCTTGGGCGGGAGGGGGCGGTGCAGGCAGTGGTGGGAAGGCCATGGCAGTGTGCTGTGTGAGTCAGGACTGTCTTAATGCTCATTCTGTTTCTCTCTGTCTTTCCCTCATGCTGCCATCGTTGCTGCTGCACTCTCCTCTCAGGCCTCTCTTAGCCACAGCTGGATTTTTGCAGTTGCGTCTGAGTTTGAGTGTTTTCTCCTTTGTCCTGGCCTCCTCCTCGGCTGAGATCGGGGATTGCTGGGGCCCTGGCTATTCCCCCTGCCCACTCCTTTCCTCTTTCCTCTGTGAGGCCCGTTCAGTCATCACCACCTCCCTCCTGGGGGACGGCTGGGGAGCCTGCTCTTGGCTTAGGCAGAAGTACTGATTGATGTCACCACTGAAAACGCACAGCTTCTCGGCTGCAGTGGCAGCAAGCCCAGGCCATTTGGGGGCAGGGGGGTGCAGAGCCAGTCCATGAGCTGAAGATCAGAAGGCTGTTTTTGAGCCTGCAGCCCCTTCCCTGTTGAACTAGTTAATCTCACAGGCTCCCCCAGCTGCCACCCAGCCACTACCTCCTCCCTCCTCCCAGCCTGATCCGGGAGACAGCTGCACACTTAGGCTTCACTCCCTGGGTTTGCACATCTATTGCCTCTGAGGTGCCAGCTGCCTTACTTGGTGCATAGAGTTCCTCATGCTCCCTCAAGGGATGGGCAGCTCTTCTGCTGTCTCTGTCCTGGCCCAGGTGACAGTAGGCCATGCCCAGAAAGTGCTGACCCCACAGCTATCCAGACCACAGGAGAAGTGTCTGGTGTCCTTCTGTCTGTCCATCATCTGTCTCTGTCCGCCTTGGTTGCCATGGCACCTGCAGCTTCCTGTGTCTCTAGTCTGGGAGAAGGGAGGGGAGGGAGGGCTGTCTGGGGCGTGGGCTGGATTCACCGCGTCTTGTGCCTCAGATCAAGAAGGCTGAGATGGATAGGAAGACACTGGACTGGGAGATTGTGGAGCTGACCAACAAGCTGCTGGATGCCAAGAACACCATCAACAAGCTGGAGGAGCTCAATGTATGTGCTCTTGGGGGCTTCCTCGCCTGTGGCTGGCTTTGCCTGGCCCAGCCCTGCTCCTTGGGCAGGGCCGGGCTCTGAGCCAGGTCTGTATCTGCAGGAGCGGTACCGGCTAGACTGCAACCTGGCTGTGCGGCTCCTCAAGTGCAACAAGTCTCACTTCCGTAACCACAAGTTTGCTGATGTGAGTAGAACACTCTCCCTGTCAATGCCAGTCCCACCTTTTTAGGACTCTTCTAACTCCAGTTTCTACACCTCTTTCTCCATCCCCTTTCTGCTTTGCCTTCCCTGTTAATGTCTCAGGTCTCCTCTCCATGTCTCCTCTCCAGCCAGTCAGCTCTGCTACTGGTTGGTGTTCCACAGTGCTGTCAAAGGCCCATTATCACTAGGACTGTTGGTGTTTCTGGAACAGAGACATGGAGAGAGGGACTCAATTTCAGTATCCCATGCAGGAAGGTGGGGGTGGCCAGGAGCTATCAACCATAAGAATATTGAGAGAGAATTTGGCCTAACTGATCCCAGGGGGCAGACTTGAGACCCCAGAGCCTCAGGCCTGAGGTTGATGGGGCCTAAGGATGGAGTGAAGGTGTTCCCAAGGCTGCTCTTCAGGACAGATTCTCAGCTTATGTCTGGTTTGGGCAGAAGCCACTGCTGAGATAGGGGAGAGCATATGGGGCTTCAGTTCTGGGTTCAAGTCCTGACTGCATTAAGGTGAATCTTCATGTTATTTTACTCCTTCTGGGCCTCAGATATCTGTGAAATGAGGATATACTTTGGCATACTTCAGGAATAGGAGACAGCAAAGTGCTGAGCACACAGTGGTACTTCTATGTGGTAGCCATTATTTTTGCTATGAGTCAAGCTATTTTAGGCTGGATCATTTGTGTCTCCCTTCTTCCACTCCTGTACCGCAGCTGCCCTGTGAGCTACAGGACATGGTTCGGAAACATCTGCACCGTGGTCAGGAGACTGCCAGCCCAGGCCCTGCCCCCAGCCTGGCACCAGGGGCCGTGGTGCCCACCTCAATCATTGCCCGGGTGTTGGAGAAGCCAGAGTCTCTACTGCTCAGTTCGGCCCAGTCGGGCAGTGCTGGGCGCCCCTTGGCTGAGGATGTCTTTGTGCATGTGGACATGAGTGGGGGTGCCTCTGGCGACCCAGCCAGTTCCCCAGCCGCTGGCAGCCCTGTACCCCAACCCAATGGAGAGTGCCGCTCTTTGGGTACTGCTGGGGGCTCCCCAGAGGAGGAGCTGCCCCTGCCCGCCTTTGAGAAGCTGAGCCCCTACCCTACCCCATCTCCTCCACACCCACTGTATCCTGGCCGCAAGGTAATAGAATTTTCTGAGGATAAGGTGCGAATCCCCCGTAACAGCCCCCTGCCCAACTGCACTTATGCTACCCGTCAGGCCATTTCCCTGAGCCTGGTGGACGAAGGGAGTGAGCAGGCCCGGCCCAGCCCAGCACCCAGCAGCCCTGCCTCAGCCCAGGCCTCGCCCCACCACCAGCCCAGCCCTGTGCTCCCAACACTCAGTGCCCCAGCCAGCTCTGCCAGCTCTGAGGAAGACCTGCTGGCCAGCTGGCAGCGGGCGTTTGTGGACCGCACTCCACCACTTGCCACTGTGGCCCAGCGCACAGCCTTTGGACGGGAAGCACTCCCTGAGCTACAGCGCCATTTTGCCCTTAGCCCCCCTGACAGAGATGAGGAGGTTCAGGCACCTTCATCCCCACCCAGTGGGAGTGGGCTTTTGCTGCCAACAGAACTTGACTCTAGCCTTCCCAGGGAGGAGGAAGAGGAAGAGCTGAACCTGCCCATCAGCCCTGAGGAGGAGCGCCAGAGCCTGCTGCCAAGTGATAGTGGCCCAGAGGAGGGGCCTGGCACTTCCCACACTGAGGGCAGGGCCTGGGCACTCCCCAGCTCCAGCCGCCCCCAGCGTAGCCCGAAGAGGATGGGGGTGCACCACCTGCACCGCAAGGATAGCCTGACCCAGGCCCAGGAGCAGGGCAACCTGCTCAACTAGGACCCCTGCTTGCCTGCCTGCCTGCCACTGCTGCACTGGGACTGCAGGGAGGCCCTACCCTGCAGCTCGGGGTCCCCTTCCCAGCCCAAGGCCTTGAACTCTCCCCCATGCCCGCACAGCTCTTCCTGTGTGGGTGGGGTCAGGCAGTGGGCCACACCAGGCCTCTCAGCTGCACTGACTATAACTGGCACCAGCTTGCCTCATGGTTTTTCCTGTTTCTCCTTGGAATATTTATTCTCCAAAGGTAGCACACAGCTGGGCTCAAGACCTTTCTTCCAGTCAGCCCAAATTGGGCTGTTCTGGGGAGCTGAGGGTTTATTTCATCAGTGTTCTCATGCCACCCTCCTTTCACATCCACAAGCTGTGTTGTGTTTTTTGAGGTGGGGGCAGTGTTGTCAGGATTACTAACCTCCAATTCCTATTTTCTACTTGTTTCCCTCTTCCCTCAAATCTGTGCTAGCTGTTGCCTTCAAGGGGCCCTTGGGGGAGGAGGGAGAGGACTGACTCAGGGCTCCCCTCTGCTGGCTCCATCCTCCCTCTGGAAGGGAGTAGAGGGTGGGATTCAGGGGTCTCAAGCTGGACTCAAGGTGAGGCCTGGCCCCCTCCCAACCTTGGCTCTAGACTGTTACTCCCAGCTTTGGGAAATTTTCTCACTGATGACTATTTTAAAATTAAATAAAACTATTTTACCGGTATGGCCTAATTTGTCTATTAATGACCTTCCTTCTGTCAGTATTCCCAGTCCTAGTCATGGCCTAGTCTCTGCCAGTTAGTGACTCTCCCCTGCCCCACTCTGCCTGGAGCTTCTTGGGGCACTGCAGGAGGCAGTGGGAGTGGGTGTAGCCTTGCCAGGGCCAGAGTTTCTCCTTGAGGGTCAGTCCAGGCCAACTCTGGAGGTGGGCTCTTTACCTTAGTTCTAGTCCTTACAGGGCCTGTGTTAGGTGTCGGCTAAGAACCCCAGGTCCTAGAAGTCGGAGACCTGAGCGAGACCCGTGAGACACTTGGGACCCGTGGAAGCTACGTAGAGCTTAGGCCATGAAGCGGCACTGTCCCCTAGTGGTGTCTCGTGGTAGTTCCAGTTCTTCCCCTACTGCCAGCCCCAGTGACCACAGCCACACGCCAGGTTGTAGAGTTCATAAAATCTCTTCCGAGACAGCGGGCTGCAGCCAGAGCTGCCAGCAAGTCCAGAGGCACCGCCTTGGGTTCAAGTGCCCCAAAGGCTGTTGCTCAGTCACAGCTTCCAGAGCCTCCCACCACACTGCCACGAGCTGCCAGAGCCCCAGGCACTTCCCACTCCTCCCCCCGCCCTCCCCAAGCCCCAGGGCCTGGGCCTGGCCCTGACATCTGGGGCAAAGTGCTGGGACAGACAAATGTACTGATGGGCCCAAATGGAGAGTCACATCTCGGTCTCTGCCAACAGACTGTCCCCTAGTCCTGATGTCATTAGCACCATCTGAGAGCTGGGATCTGTGGAAGGGCAGAAGGGCAGAAGGGTATTCAGACCACCATTCACCATTCATTCCTCCACTGGGGACCACAAATAGGTGAGAGGTGGCCTAGGCTTCCCACACCCACTCATCCTTGGGGTCTCAAGCCACTTTCAGACATGGATATATGATCAACCTTGAGGGCTCTTACCACCGGGGCACATCCAGGAGCTGCTGCCCCTCTGGTGGGCAGCAGGCTCCTGCCTTCTCTCTCGTTCCTGGGCATCACCAGCCCCTCCTTTCACCTCCTCCTCCTCCTCCCCCTCAGAGAGGAGGTCACAGATCTGCTGCTGCAGCTCTGGGCTAATGCTGTTCTCAGCCAACACCAGGCTCCGCAAAGCTGTGGGGTAATTTTCTACCATGTCCAGCAGGGTCTGAGGTGGGGAAGAGTGTGGAAAAGGATGAACACAGGGTGCCTCCTCAGCCGCAATATGCCACCCCTTTGGTATGTCCCCAGGCACACCGGCTAACCTCCACTCCAACCCCTGGTCCATCCCCAAACATGAAGACTCACCTGAGCTGACTGGTTAGTGAGCCCTGTGCCCTCCAAGTCTAGGACCTCCAAGGTGCGGCTGGAGGCCACGGCCACAGCCAGCATCCCTGCCACGTGGTCACCTGGGGAGAGAGCACATACTCATCTGCATTTAAACTCAGGCCTGCTAACCCTTCCTCCCACAGCTTTCCCCATTGCTCCAACAAACTTAGACCCACCCCCAGGCCAGAAAGCATTTAGGATTGGTAGGCAGCCAGGATGGGAGCACTGTGATTGGTGAGTGAATGGGTGGTAACAGAGGCTTTGATGTACCTGTTGGTCATCTGTTCCTCCACAGAGGTGGCTCCTTTACTACCTTCCAGAACCCACTCCCTGACCTTCTGCCCCTCCAGTGTGGGGGTTACCAACTGATAGTCCCAGTTTCTTGGGTGGGGGAATCACAGGGGGCTTTCTTGAGCCTCACCTAGGGGATTGTAGTCCAGATTGAGGACGCGGACCTGGGAGCTGTGGGCCACAGCAATGGCAAGGCGGCTCCAGCCCTTAGGGGTGATGCCAGGGTTGGCACTCAGTGTTAGCTCCTTCAAGCCTGGGGAGTACCAGGGATGGAGGTCAGGCTCTCCTCAAGTCGTCCCCATTACCCTGGCCCCACCCTACTCTGGCAGGCAGTGGCTGGGAGCCATCCCACCCTCCACCTCTGAGCTCCAGGGCCATTAGAGACCCGTACCTTCCCTGCCCACCACAGCCTGGAGGCCTGAGTCTCCATACTGCTCAGCCCCCAGTGTTTCTCCTTCCTGACAGGGTTTAAAAAGCATTGTACGCATACTGTCAGAGCCCTCAACTTTCGGCTATGCTCCCTGCCCTCTGCACTTAACTCTTCAAGGCCATACCAGCTCATACCCTCCGCAGGACCCTGCTCACCAGACTTGGCTCCATCTGGGGGGAGGAGGCCACAGATGAGGTTGATGGCTTCATCACCCAGCATGCAGTCCCCCAGGTCCAGAGCCACAAGGGCAGGGTGCAGGGCCAGGGCTGGGTTCAGCAAGGCCAGCCCTGCATCTGTCAGGGGACTCCCATGCAGGCTGGTGGTGAGACCAGAGAGCAGAGGTTACTGCTTTCATCGGCCCTCTCTGTAAGGGGAAGAGGCACCCTCCTTTATGGGAGCCCTAGAGTTGAGGCGGGCACTCAGTAACAGCATTTAGGAGAGGTCTTGGGAAGGGAGAAAGAAAATTCTAGATTTTAAAGGAGTACAGGCAGAAGGGGAGTCTGGTTTCTTTTCTGGGGCAGGGACTGGGATCCAGGACAGAGAACAGAGAAAGGGTGGTGGATTGGGATTCTTCAGTGAGCAGAATGTAGGGGAAGGGGTCCAGTCTGAAGGAACTATTCGCTCTGGGGAATATTCCGCGAGAAGTTACTGCGGGTGATTAAGTAGTGAGGTACATACGCCTTTTCAGAAGGGGGTGGTATCCCATCTCATTTGGCGTGGGGCTGCGTGTGCAAAGTCCGCAGATGAGATAGATGCTTGGAGGGCATTGTGGAGGCATGGGCAGAGGGATGAGATGTATGTATAGGGCGAGATGGTAGGTGAGTGGAAAGACAGGTAAAGGAAGGAGTGCGGACGAATAGGAAGTGGCGGAGGGCGAAAGGAGGGATGCAGGGCCCGGGACCGCTTGCGAGGGAGTGCACTCACAAGAGGGACTGGATGGAGCGGTTGGTCCGCAGCGCCTCCGCCAGCTGCTTGATGCGACTAGGGCTGGAAACGACACCCAGGTTAAGGTTGAGCTGCGCCAGGGACGCGGCCCCGGCCAGGGCCCTGCAGATGCGGCCGAAGTCGCGGTCGCAGAGGCGACAGCCGCGCAGTGAGAGCAGGCGCACGGCGTTGTCGCGCAGGCCGCGGCAGATGTCCCGCACCTCGGCGCCTGACAGCGGCTCCCCTGAAATCTGGATTGAGCTGGGCAGCATCGCACCCACGACTGGGCCTCCCGGGTGGGGGTCGCGGCCGGTGCCGCGGCCGAGGTTGGCGGGGGCGGGGCCGGGGCTGGGGTCGCGGACGGAGCGGGGGCAGAGGAGGGGACAGAGGCGCAGGCGGAGGCGGCGACGAAGAGAGCCTGGGCCCCGGTGGGAGCCGGCCGGTGTTGCGGATTCGCCGAGGTCACCGGCCGGGCTGAGACCGCGCGGTGCAGGGGCCGGAACGAACCGTGCGGTCCGTGTCTGGGCGGAGGGCCGGGTGCGCGATCTGGCGCCGGGCGGACGCTGCTCTGCGCTTGCCCTCCTTCCTCGCGGTTACGGCAGAGGCTCAGGGGCCTCGGCTTACGACCCGCGGCTCCGGTCTTCGCTCGGAGGCTACATCCACTCCCTCCCTTCCTTCAGCCCGGCTTCCCTTACCGCCCCGCAGGGAGAGCCCGAAGTGGGAAGGCGGGCAGCAGGTAGCGGGCAGCCGGTGGCAGCTCTGGCTTCCGCTCCTAAGCCTGAACGAGCGGCGGGTTCCCATAGCAACGGTCGCGTCACTGCCGCTCGCCCCGCCCCCTGCCCGGCCTAGGCTTTAGAGGGCCCGACAGGTTTGCGCCGAGTGGTTCACGAGTTGTGGGGACGCTCTTCTGGGTGGTCGTGGGGCCGACAACAGGCATAAAGTAGGTGGCAGCGTTGAGGTCTGGGACAGATCTGAGGGGGAAGGGGAGAATGGAGGCATGTCAACAGGGAGATGGCGTTTGAGACTATTACCGTGTTCTTTGCCATTCTTGTGTCGTTCCCAATTCCTAAGGACCAGACCCCAAGTTCCCTCACCTGGATCCTAGGGGCGCACGGTCGCCGCGTTTGGAAGTCCCCTGGGCCTCTTAATCCAGGCCTCGCCCCAACCCCTCGACGAGACGCAGGGTGTGCGGTGATTCCAGCCTGCGAGAGCTTCCCCGCGCGCCCCTTACCAAGATGGCGGCGTCGCAGCGGGGGCCCAGGGGCCACGGCCGGGCAGCGGCGGCCTGGGCTGCTATGCATAGCGATTCCCAAGGGGCCCCCGGGGCAGGGGAACAGCAGGTACATGAAGGGTGCTGGTGTCCTACGTAGGGTACGTCTGATACCCTGAGCTGTTCAGTACTCATGAAATTGGGGTGGCCCAATGTGTGTGTGGGATGCTGGAAATGTCAGCATCAGCGACGTGGAGTGCCAGGGAAGTGGGCCGTGGCTTTCAGCAAAGGTACCACTGCTTGGTGCGAGCAGTGCTGTTAGAATTTTGTTGACTAGTGCTGGTGTGAGGGTCTCCCATAACAAATGGTCACGTAGGGCAAATGAAGGGCAAGTCTTTCTTGTCCCTTAATTAGGAAGAAAAGATTGCAAACTCAGATTTACTAGGATAAAGACTTTTTTAAACAACAAATTGCATAGTGGTCAAAAATTCTATTAACCACCTGACCTAACTCCTTAGGTGGAATAGATTGGGTGGTGGTGGTTTTCAACAGTAAAGAGCACTCTTAAGAGAGAGAGCAGAGAATACTGAAGGGAGCTTTGTTCCTCTGGCCCATAACCAGGAATGTGAGCTCCCACAGGAAAATGATCCCTACACAATGGCCCAGGTGCATAAGGGCTTTGTCACGACATGGGGTCAAGTCTCAAAGTTTTTGCCCAATTGTCATTGTTCCACTGGTGTCCCAACAGTGAAGCCGTGCCCACTCAAGCTGGGTGCACTCTTCCATCAGACTTAGGGTTCTTTTGTTTGATGTTTCCCTGGTGCTCCATGGGTCAGATGTCCCCTGCCCTCAGGGACAGGTTCCATATTCAATCACTGCCTTCAGTGCAGTCTGGGGTGTGCCCACCTTCATCCTGCCTGGATGAAGGTATAAAGGAACATGTAAAACTGCCCCAGAAAGAACAGGGAAGTGTACAGGAAGTAGGGTGGCAAGGAGGACCATTCCATTTTAGATTTGATCACCTACCTGGTATTTCTCTAAACATAAAAACATTTAAAAACCATCCCAAACTGAGACTATCTAAAATCCCGATCAAAATAATCAAAATAATAGAGAGTCATAATAAATATAAAGCCCCACACCTCCTTCCAATTCTCCTCCAAGTTGATGTGAAATTGGGCTTCCTGAGAAAACAGTGGATGATTTAGGTCAGTGGTTCTCAAAATTTATGGTCTCTGAACCCCTTTAGACTCTCAAAAATTACTGACAATACCAAAGAGCTTTTGCTTATCCAGATTCTACCTATCATTTTACCATAACAGTAATTAAAACTGAGATGTTTTAAAATGATTATTCATTTAAAAAGTAACAATAATAATCCCATTACATGTTAATATAAATAACGTAATTCTTACAAAAATAATCGTAATTTCCAAACCAAAAAGCAATCGGTGAGAAGAATGGCATTGTCCTGCACTTTTACAGATTGTTTGAGCATCTGGCTTAATAAAAGACAGCCAGATGCTCCTCTCTGCTTCTGCACTCCATCAGTCACCATGGGGTTGTTTGGGTTGAAGTTTAATGAAAATCTGGTGTCATGCACTCAGGTAGTTGGGCATCTGCTCTTCAAACAGTACCTGAAAGTGTCTTGGGCACCCCCAGAGGTCCTCAGACCATGCTTGGAAAACCACTGGTTTAGAAAATGATGAGGCTCCCATGCCCACCACCTGTTCATGCCCTGAGGCTGAGGGTGAGCAGAGCTCAGGATGGGAAAGAAGACAGGGCAGGGAGCTATCATGGAGCGGGTGCTTCATTGTCCTCCCCTCTGTCCCCACGCCTCACCACGTTTGGCCAGGAGCAGCCTGACTCCACCTGGCTCCCTCCTCCCAGGGGGAGTAAATGCTGAGATGGAGCATTCCTACGAGTCGTCCCTGAACCACAACTGGCAGGGACCAAATGCTGAAGGGGGAGAAAGCACGGGGGACCTGGAAAGGGCAGTGCAGCAGTACTCAAGCCAGGATGCACAGATCACCTGGAGATTTAAATGTTCCTCTGACCAGGTTGAGAAAGGCCCAGACAGCAGGAGTTAGGGAAGTCCCACCAGGAGTGTAGCCAGGCACCAGAACCACAAGATTGTAGTGGGCTCAGGAAGCAGACCACCTGGGTTTGAATCCATGCTCCACCAGTTATATGTATAACTCACTACCCAACACTCAGCTTCTGTTTACCCTTCTGTAAAATGGGAATATCATGCTAGCTATTGCGAATATGAGGCAAGATCATCCATATAAAGTTCTTAGCACTGTGAATGACATAAAGTCAGTAAGTTTTGAGCTGCTGTTATTGGCTATGGTGATTTGGGTGCAGGTCATCAGCCTCTGCCAGCTTCCAGGGGCCAGTGACTCAGAGGAAGCGGCCACACACACAGGATAAGGCACCCGAGGGCAGGCCACAGCTGTAGTCCTAGCACTGCTCAGAGTAGACGTCCCACCTGCTTCCTCTCTCCTCAGGAAATACAGGGTGTCGGTGACTTCCCCTGCCCACGATCCAGCCCTGCAGGAATCCGCATGGTGCCAGCAGCTGGCTGACGCACAAACGTGATGTCACTGGAAATAGGTGGAGGAGTCGACCAGGTGCACTGATGGTGCTCACACTGTGTGCACATGTGTGTGTGTGCACACTCTGTAGTCAACTCAGATACTCTTGTTTCCTTTTAAAATTATTAGAACATTTCAAATCTAATGCAGATGGCAGAAGGGAAACATAGAGTGGAAATATTTTAATGGCTTATTCTTGGCCTGTGGACTGTTCATAGAGACCCGAAACGAATGGGGCTCATTCCTCACTTGTCCTTGAGAACACTTCATTACTCCACACACACTGCGTTCTGCCTCGGAGCTCAGCAGATCACCCACAGAAGTTAACAGCAACACGAAATGGGGCAGGGAAAGCTGGAGGGACCTGGAACACTCTGAACAGGCAGTGTAGCCATGTTTCACTAAGAGGCACAATGGGCCATGTAATACTTCATTCCTGGACATGAGTGCTCCCCCAGTGTTTGTAGGGTGGAATCTGAGAGCCTTCAAACACTCTCAGTGCTGCTGAGTTTCAGGACATCCACCCGACACGGTGAGCCTGCCACACTGATGACCGGGCAGCTGGCCGGCCTTCTGGCTCCGTAGCTTTTTTGAATTCACACAGAGAAGTGCCAAACAGGCACTTAATTAAGTGCCATAACTAACAGAAATGAACTGGAGGGGCCGTCTAGGGCCAATCCTGTGCCTCCTGGAGGAATTATATCTAATCATCCAGGACAGAGTCTTCCGGATGGCCTAAGACCACGAAGGGAACCAGGAGAACAGGAAGATAATTGGATCCAGGACTCAACATGCTTCATCAGGAACACAATTATACAGGCTAATCCTCCAGACTCAGTGGGTCACACAGCCATTAGTAAACCTCATTAAAGGATCAACCCTCACATCCGGGTCTTGAGCATGGATGCAAAGTTAAGCCACAGACACGTTGGGCTGAGACTGGCCATATGTCAGGATTACACCTTCCAACCAGCCCCACGCCAGATACATTTGGAGGCCAGACTGATAGAGAAAGTGACTGAAAGCAAAGAGGGTTTGGGTTTTTTTCTTTTCTTCTTCCTTTATTGGTTGTTTCCTCAGCTCTAAATGCATGTTGAGAGGTAGCCTCCTAGCTTGCAAATCTACCTTGCCAGACTGCTTGGTGTGAAATGATTTTTTAGGCTTTGCAGCATGCATCACTCTAGTTTTCCTTCCACACACTCTCCATCTGAGTGTGGCAATACCACCTCCTTGTCACCTTGGAGGTGGCTACAGTCTCTCAACAGGAGGTGCAAAGTTCTGCCTGTAATTTCTTGCTGACAAACCGACGCCGAGTTCTGTCCTTGCCTCCTCGGGACAGCCAGCCAAAGGGGGTCATAGGGTGTGATCTATTCTCAAACAGGGACCTTAGGCCCCCCACGGCTCTGATCCACACTGCACAGAGGAACCAGCCCCCAGTGGCCTCCTGAATGGGGAGAACCTCAGCGATCCCGCCACAGACCACACTGGCCAGGAAGGGGCCAGCCCCCTGCAGGAGAGGCCTGGGGCCTCCTCTAAAGCTGAAGCTCATCACCAGTTCAGGCCCCTCCCCATGGTGTCTCCCCAGGAGGGGTTTCATTTTCCCTTACTTAAGTGTTAGGATTAAGAAGGCCATGAAGCTGAATGGAGTGGACCGAGGTTTAAACTTGGCTAATATATGGCTCCTAATGCTAGCACCACACAAGAATCCTCAGACCCATCTTTCTTTCCTTTTTTCTTTTTAATGAGGTTACACTGACTAAATAATTTAATTAAATTTAGTAGGGCACTTTTCAGACAAATAGCTCATACATTTTGGACAAGTCTAACATGCTTCAAAAGCCTATAAGATGAGTTAATTACACTTCTCAGATATTTGAAATTTTATGCCCAAGATAATCTTTGTTTTGTGAACAAATATTTCATTACTTCTCCTGTTTCCCCTATTCCCTAGCCTCTGAGCTTAGGAGGAGTAAATGTGGGGGCCAAGGTA